AAATGAAGGTTCAAATACTGGCCATTCCAGCAGCAATTCAACCACCAGTACCTTTTCCTTTATCTTTTGCAGCTCTTACACACATATCAATAGAAAGCTTAATATGTGTATTTCTGTGAAATCCGTGTTTCAGGAGCCTTAAATATCTAAAAACATGCAAGTATTATCAGGCATATATTCCAGAAAGACAGATTTCCTTACACAGAAGGATGTTCAAAAGATTCATCTGTGTTCTTTTAGTGCACCTTCTGTGCATTTGCGTTACTTATTGATCACTTTTTTAAACACATCTGAAAAATACAGTGTTTGTTGTTGGAAATTTTCATCTAGAGGATCTCCATGTATTTGCCTCAAACTACTGTTACAATTGGCTGCCTAAAGTCTTCCCACACTGATGTGTCTCTGCTTAGCCTTAATTGTCTTCAAACCTTCCCTGCTTCATACATGCTTTTGTTGGCTTGGCACACTCACGTCCCAAACCTCCTCATTTGTTTTTATTTTTATAGTTCATCTACTTGCTCTTGCTGTGTGAGGAGCTCTTTCGTGAGGAAGTCTGGAAAGCTTTACCAACCTAAAACTTGCCAAGAGAAGATGTAGGTGTCTGATGCCATCCATGGGCTTTCACTTCTAGCTTGTAGTTCAAACACTTATACTGTGGGCAAATTACAATTCTGTCTTTTCAGCTTTCTTCTAACACTTTTAAGAAAACTATATAGTTAAAAAGTTGTGTGGGAACAGAAATCGTTCAGTTCAATCCACTTCTCTTAAAGATCCAAGTTTTCTAATACAGTATAGTGACCTATCTTTTTCTGTATAATTATAATGTCAGGAAAGACAAACTTTTTTTCCTTCTTAAAAATAACCTTGAACTCTAGAAGCCTTTTTTTCTGGCCTGTTTTATTTTCTTAATTAGCAGCTGATGAAATTGCCATTTAATTCTATAATTATTTATTGCCTGAGGGAGATCTCACTTCATTCAATGAAGGTATTTTAAGGAACATCTGACCTTTCTGTATTTTCATGTATTTTTTCTTCACATTATTTCCGATTTTCTTCTGTGCAGTATTACATGATAAAGTGGTAAATAGGAAGAAGGCCACTGGGCTAAAGGAAGCCCTTTGATTTAGCAAGTGGAAAGAAATCTTCCTGTCCAAAGATAATTAGCTGTTTGTTTTCATGTTGTTCAAATAGACAGAAGGAGGAAGAAAGGAATAAAACAATCTGTTTACTGTTTATTTCTAATAATTGATTCCACATCATTCTACTGGAAAATTTCTGCTGTTTACAAACATTCTCCTTCTGATGCTTGAGTGTATTTTCTTCAGCACATTGCCTTTTTCTAACAGTCATCTGATGCAGATGTTGCATCACTTTGGCTTATATCAAGAAAAGGAATCTTTTCCATTAGTTAAAGGATAATCCTTAAGAATAATTGAAGATGTAAAAAAGGAATCAAGTAAGATGTAACTGGAAATGTGACTATGCTTTCTACTGCAATAGCACTCCCCTCATGCAGACCTTTCATGTTAGATCCCTGCACAAGTCCATAGAATGAAAGTGTTTGTTGTGCTGAGTTTTCATCCTAACGTGATCTTAACAGATGAGGGGAAGAAAGAAGTGCAATAATTAGCATGGTACAACTGACACAAACTGCCAATCCTTCTATCTGCTTCAAGCAAGAGCAACCACCCTAACTTGCAGTTTATTTTATGAATAAATATTGCCTAGATTTCCTTTTTGAAAGCTGTGAAAACACTTGACCCTGTCCAATGTTGTTTGGTCTAGGAAGCACAGAAGAACTGGAAATAAAAAGATATCTGTTAAATAACTTTCTAATATAGAAAGTACTGGCTAATCCTTATAAGAACCAGCAAGGAAGCTAAGTATTATTTCTAACTCCAACTTGAAGGAGAGACAGAGGTTACCAAACTTACATGTAGACAGACAGTAGAGACTGGGGCAGGTGTTTGTGAGACACATATATAGGGGATTCAGTGAGGATCCAACAAAAATCTTTTATTACTATCCTTCCATTCTATCTCATTGTGGGTGGCAGATAAAGCATGTCTTTGTCATTAATTCTGTTCATTTATCAGTCTCTGAAAAAGGTTTTCTACTGCATTTATTTTATGCATTCCCTTAATCCACCTCTGATACAAATTTACAGAAATAAACCCTTTTTTTCTTAAACAAGTTCAGCAATTAGAGAGCCTATAAAAACTAAACACAGTTTGAAATTTCGTATCAAACTCTCCCACACTGCTTATTAATGAACTGCAATCAACCCCTTTTGTAGCAGGCACAGAGAGCAGAAATGGCAAGTCATGCCAGCACGCCTCTTGAAGTGCTCTCTGAGGAAAAGGAAGAAGAGTAGAGGAACCATAATTTTAATTATGGCTCTCTCCAGTGTTAAACTTTGCAATTTTGTCTTTAGGTCAAATAATTGGTTTGGCAGGAAGTACTGGAATAAACAGGATAAAATCCTGTTCTGCTAAATTACAGCTTATATAGAAAAACTGCCAGGTAAATTAGTGTGTATTTTGGATGGTTGAAAGGGTTAAAAGTTAGTGTTAAAGAAGAAATATATTCAGAAAAATAAATAATTGGTCTAATACAGAATAATGCAAAGTGAAAATTTGAAGTAAATACTCTTTGAGCTGCAGGGAAACATGAGTTCTAGAAAGATTTAGTCCAGTAACCACAGTTAGCACAATGAGCATGTGCTGTGTTATGGTGCTTTTAAAGAATCCTGGGGTTTCAGGGCATATTGAGTAGAAAAATTTCCCAGTTAGAATGAGTCACTTCATATTTGTTCCTGAAATAACTATATTAAGAATAGGATGCTTTCTTCTAGTTTGCTTCATACCTGAAAGCTACTGGTAAGTTGGAGGGCAAACTGGAACCCTAATTGGTCTTAATAAAGTCAACTTTTCTTCCTTTAATGTTAACATACTTAATAAAAAGTCATTTAATGACTAGAGTTTACATTTGACTATTAAACTTTCACTCTGTGTCAAGATTTTTTTGTTTTACTTTTTATTACTGATTATCGCTACCATGGGCAAAGCCCATCAATGTCACAGAACCATTTTCCTTGATTTTAGGCTGACCTCTCTGAATTCACCACAGTGCTGTCAGCAGTACCAATGGCAAAAAAGATCATTTCCTGATTTATAATTCACTAAGCCAAGCAGAACAGCAGCTGAAGTCTCTGTATACTTGTTTGGGGCAAACATCAGAGGACAAAGTGGCTGCTTTGCTGTCAAGACAGACCTACAAGCTTTAGATCTAACAGTTCTGGTTACACTACCAAATAGTTCCAATTTTATATAACTAGATAAAGCAAAGCCCTCCCTAACAACACAAAATACACTTACTAAATCACACTATAACCATACTGTATCACAGCTGATAGGATATTGCCAGTTTAGGGAATGCATCTGTGGCTTAATATAGTTCTTTATTTCATGTGGGGTCTAAACCAATACATTTTGAGTAGGCTAGAGGTGAAAAACATTTCAGGAATAATCTGAAGGCGAGAGAAACAAAGAGCTATAACTGACCCCTGGTCTGAGAGAGTCACAGTTGAAAAAGGACTGAAAATGTGGATAGCAACATGTTGCTGATTAGCATTTCCTCTGCTAATAGTGTTTTGTATCCCTCTATCAATAGCACTTTCCACTACAAATAATCTCACTAGTTTTGTAGTGGTGCTAATCAGCATAATTGGAGAGAGCAGATTTTAGGGCTTAGTTACTTCTGTTGTAGTAGATGAGTATTCACCCCTCATAATTATTGGTGCTCCACCATGTGCCTTGAGAAACCTTGTGCCATTTCTCGCAGACTGAAAGCATGAGAACTGTTTTCACATATCTCCATGTGATTTGAATGCAACTACTTAAAAAATCCTTCAAGCAGAACTTCAACTCTAAGCCTTATTTCAAAGTGAAAGACTGCAAAAATCACATTTTTAATATGCAAAAGCTTAAAATACTTACAACTTTTAAAATTTCTAAATTTTTAACGCTTAAAATACTTATCATTTTCCAGCAATCCAAGCTGCATTCTGGAATCCAATGCCAAGCTCAGTACATTTTCTTTGACAACTAACATAAAAGACCTACAGTACTCAAAGCAACAGAACACAAAGATCTAAAGTGTTGCTTAATTAGTTTAGGAGGCTTAGAGCAATTTTTCATCTGTTAAATATAACAGTTCAACAAGAAAAAAGAGACATTCATACAAGGAGTTATTGGTGTTCTGGGTAATAATTGACTGGTGGCAAATAACAACCCTGAGACTCTCAAAAATTGTTTCATGCACAGCCCATTTGCTTTAGTGGCATCATTTCCTTTTCAAAAATACCCATGAGGGCTGCACTCGGGGGTGAGATACAGGAGATGACCTTTGACAACTGCAGCAGTTTCTTTCTGTGGGACAACATTCATCTTGTCCACAAGGTTTCCTATTGCTGAGCGCTTGATATGGCTTCAGCTCTAGTTATGAAGGGTTATACCAAAAAGGGAACTACTTTATGACAAAATTGCTGCTGCAGGTTTGGTATCTGCTGTGATTTGTGTCCCCCATTTGAGCCTCAGCCACAAACCTGCACTTTTTATCGAGTATTTGCGAATATGTAACTGCTCTGAAGACACATGGACAATAAATAATTCAAAGTTATCTATCTTCCCTGCAGTTTTCTTATACACCTATCACCTTTTAATGTTTAGTTGGCCTTGTTTATGGCACTTCTAGTATACAAATGTTACTGACTTGCAGTAGACTATTGATTTACAGTATGACATCTTGAAAATAAATTGGTTGTCCCCCATCTCCATCTGCTTTGTTCTCATCTGCTATTAGCGCAGAGAAGCTTTGGTTTGCATTTCGAGTCCCTAAAAATATTAATTTTCAATTATTGATTCCAAAATTGTAACAATGTGATTGAGTTTGTTATTCCTTTTTCTTTCCCTCTCCCCATCTCTTTGTTTTCTTTTCAGCTCTATATCCATTTACAGTCCTAAGGAGAATCCTAATGCTTTTGATGCTGCTGCTTTCTTCCAGTCAATGGGAAATTTCCTGGGGATCTTTGCTGGATCATTTGCCATGGGATCCTCTTATGCTGTTGTCACAGCTTTAATATCCTTTATGGTTTGTTTTCAGAGAGAAAATTTATATATGTTGGAAAAAACACCTGATATCTGAGACTGACCATTTTTAGTTTAAGCCTGAACATTTTCACTCTAGATTCAAGTCTTTGCAAACCAACAGACAAATCATAAATTGACGGAAAATGTTATTTGTCAGAACCCACAAAGAACTTTATACTCAAATTTCTTTTGAACATTAGGCAAGACTCTGGTCTTTATCTTACTATTTGGAAATGGTTGCATTTTAAAGAAAGTGTTTTGAAGTCAAAACATGAATTTATTAAATACAGTAACTTATTTATGAACTACAAGCTAGCAGCAATTATACAAAAATACAAGGGAAACACTACACCATGTCAGTGTGACTGACAACTTCATCAGTTTACCTAAGCTAGAAATTAAAGGTCTGTCTGTTGCCCTGCATTTTTGCTTGGGTTTTACAGTTCTTTGTGTAAAATGCTACTGTAGAAAGACAAGTGATTTTCATCTTCCTTGCATGGATGCAAGTGTAAACAAATGTCAGCTCGCTCATAAAACTGGACAAAATTACTTCCTTTTGCTGGGAAAAAAAATATCAAATGCAACCAACTAGGCATTAATTCAAAGCCCAGAAAAGCACTTAAAATAGCTGACTTCAAAACCTGTTCTGGATTTTCCTCTTTGAGATAACTTAGAAGCTGTGCAGTTGTTCCTGAATTCAACTAGTATAGATGAGTATGGTGGGGGAGCTTTCTTTCTTCTATCCTTTATCAGGTCAGGAGCAATTTTAGCTTACAAAACTGTTGGGTTTTTATTTTTCCTTAGTAAACTTTTAGCACTTGACAAAATTTACAAAGCTGTGTGAGTTTCCTATGTTGGAGACAGGTCTATTTTTCCTCCTATCCTGGAGTGCCTTCTTATCAGCAGAAGCCGCTGGGCTTACAGGTAAGTGTTGAATTTTACTGAATAAAAGCAGTTTTATAATATGCCTCTAGTGTGGGTAAAATGCATGTTTATTTTAAGCATGACATCACATAAAAATTTTCTAAAGGCCCATTACTATATTGAAGATAGTTCTACCAGACAAAAACATATTAGATCAGACTCAAGTTCTCAGTCTTTCTTCCCTAGATTATCCCATCCCTATTAGTCCCACTACTAATCCAACTATTTTCTGCCCAGCTATAGGACCAAAGATGACAGTAAGTACAAGGAAGCAAATATGCAGTGCCATGTGACTGTGAGATTGTGTGTTCCTCTGCACACACTGCATGTCCTGGTCCCTTCTTGTTCCTCCCAATTATCAATGACTAAACAGAGGACAGGGCCATCCTCAACATTGCCAGTGGCATCCACCTCTGTACTTAGAAAAAAAAAAAAAAGAAGTCATCTTGTTCAGTGCCCCTCCATGAACACCTTTAGCAACAGGAGAGGCACAGCCATGTCCCAGTGACAGGTAGAGATGTCAGGAAAGAAATTATACGATCACAGTCAGTTATACCCAGGGCCTCCATTAAAAAGTGTACAGAAGTTTAGGCAAAAATTGTTTACGTACACAGCAGCCTACTGTATAGTGTAATTCAAGAGAACACAGTTTGTATGACCCTGATTGTTTTAATGTTTTTGAGGCCGTTGCCCCTGAAATCTAATGCTCTAACTAATGTCAGGGAAAGTCAGAGGAAGAAAACTGCTTAATGGAGTGATGATGCGACCCATGCTTGTTTGTTTGCAAAATTGTTCAAAGCCTTTTGGAGTCAACAGTTATGTTTTTATATTTTTACTGAGTTGTCTGGAACTAGCATATTACTTTTTTAATATCAGCCACACAATCGCACTATGTCTGAATGGGTATCAACATCTGCATCTTCTGGCATCCTTATCTTATTAATTAAACAACTTTGCATCCTGCTTACTGCCAAAATCTTCAGGCCAATGAATAAAAAGAGGGGCATCTGAACTTCATTTTCCTTGGATATTGTGTTTTTTCTGTTCCTTCCTTCTTAATGAACTTCAAAGGATTAACAGTAGACATCAGTATTTCCCTGTAGCTATTAAGTAATGTAATTGCAAAATAATTTCATTCTTATAATGCTTTCCATACCAGTTCTTCAATCACTCTGAGTCTTTTGAAGTCTAATATTGAAGTATTTCATAATTTAGAAATAATGGCCTATACTGTTTTTGTGTGGGTATAGTAGGTGGTAGAGCCCACTAGCAGATTTTTAAAATAAAATGTAAATGGAGAGTAGTACAGGTCAATATTTTAGAAAGTATTTTATTCCTTTGCCTCAAGATATCCCATGATATATAACACACAGTATATGGGCCTGACCCTAGTTGAAAAATGGATGTGATCAAACCAGCAAATCAACATAAAAATCCTGGATGACTACACAATTATTGTCATACTGATAACTGTAAATTATAAATTAATGTTATGGTTATTAATCTTATAGCTATATTATCAAGCTGTGATATATGCATGATAAATTGATTCTTATACAGTAGAAACTAATTTGTGCATTTTCTCATTTGCCCTGAAGTATATAATTCCTGACTGCTGAAAAAAGCTGTAATAACAGAGTACTAGAGTAAGGTCAGTGTTAATAGAGTTGTTTTCATGTTCAAACTTCATTACTAGTAGGCTATAAAAAAAATCATAAATAATTTAAATTAAACACTTGTCAAAATAAATGAGGAAAGTACATCTTGCATGTATTAATTGCTTGTCCTCTTGTTTTGTAATTAACAAAATTTGCTAAATTTTAAATGATCACTAAGTCATTAGTCTGTGAAAGATTCCATGATGTACACGAGCATTTAATGTTCACCTCACTTAGACTCTCTCTATCTACAGCTGTTTGAAGTGAGTAGACATTCAAATAAAAAGAGATTAATATACCTGCAGAAACACACTCAAATGTGTATGTGAATTTACTTGCATATATGTATTCAGTGAATGCATACTGCAAAGTCATATAGAATTTATCAGTGTAAAGGCATCAAAATTGCAGCCAGCCACCTCTGATTTTTACATGGTAAAGGTCTGCACTATGAAGGCAAGAAAGAAATAGGTCTTGAAGTAAAAAATGTTGAAGAGCATCTTCTTTGTTCATTTACTGGTTTTCAGAGCCCTTTGTTTTCTGAACATTATAAAGGGAAAAGTTTGTGATAATAAATTACTGTTGTTTCCTCACCTTCAGCAATTCTCATCTGAACATTTTGTGATGTGTCTGACACCTGTCTTGTTATTCAAGGGCTCAGAGGAGAGCACAGTCTACCAAGCAGGAAAGCTTTTCCTCCAAAAATAAATAAGCAGCTTATTATGGATGATGTACCCAGGATCAGTCCAAAAATCTGGTCTCTCACTGGGGCAATTTTGTGCTACCTTTGTGTTTAGGACATAGCAAGAACAAATGTCACCAACTTCCATTTCCTTTAGTGCTGCTGACAAAGTGCATTTATTCTGCTGTTCACTGCTCCTGTCTGTTTGCTGTAATTTGTCTTGGATCCACCATCTACCTCATTGCTTTTTAAAATGTTGTGAGCAGTTCTTCTTGTGACACTCTCAGAAGGGATCTACCAGAACATTTCTGTCTGCAGTTCTGAGCACTGAAGTCAGGTTGGGACCACATGGGCTTTAGTTCACTGAGCTGACATTATTCTATAAAAGGAAGTTGTTCTGGGCTTTAAATTCTAAACTTTGTGGGTTTCTTTCCTTTATTCATAAGTAATGTGCCATGTTGCATCACACAGAGAAGTAGGCAGACTCCTCCCAGTAAGGAAGGAGAAGAGATAACTTGGCTTCTAGAGTAAAACTCAATTCTCCTAAGCCATAGATCTGCCACTCCCAGGAGCACAGAGTGAAATCTGAGCCCGATGAGAAAAGCAGGTTCTTCGGAGGTAAGAAGATGGCCCTTGCAGTGCTGTGCAGAGACGGATAACAAATGAGCCAGATTGTTACAAATTTGGAGTCAATTCTTGGGTCTGGCTAATTTAGGGCCTGCTGTAGGTACAGCCTTTTAAGACAGTAAGGGGAAAAAGAGAAAGGTACATGATTTTAGAGAAAAGTACATATTCTAGCATGGCATTAGGGTGAGACCAATGAACAGTTGCATAAAATGAGTCTTATTGCTATTGCATAGGTTCAGGATAAACAGGGTAAGCACTCTTAGCGTGTCTAGGATAAAAGCTGTTATGTGTCACCATAGGGGTTCCAATCTAAGTTGAATTCAGCAATTCATTTGAGGTTACAAAAGTACAACACTGCAGCTCACGTCTCGAAGCAGCCAGGTGCAATACCAATGTACCGTCCCCAGATAAGGGCCTAAAAAAATCCCTTCAGCTCCATCTTTTGTTACTTTCTGTCACTTCAACATAAAATAAACCTCATACAACTCCAGAGATAAAAGCTTCATGAACAAAGTACGAGCTTTAGTTCTGCATTGGTGCAGGTCTGGTGAAAGAAGCCTTAAATCGTTTCTTTAGTATCAAGAAAATGATTAGTCACACTTCATACCCTCAGTGAAAACAGAGTGAATAGGGATATTGTTGCCACTGGGTGTATGGCCTTATTACTGCAGCAATTTGAGGCAGACGACAGTGCCTCATTTCCTGCCACTCACACAGTCACTCTGCATCCTAGCAGGTGCTGGGGAGATTCTGACATAAATATGACTCCAAAGTACATTTTATCTGATTTAAATAATTTCTCTTTTACCCAATCCTCATTGTTCTCCTTTCCACACATTTCACCACCTTTGATGAAGACCAGTTCCTGCTGGTTTTGCTTTACTGGGGGATTTGCAGTATGTTGTGCATCTTTAGAGAGGAAGCTATACTTTTTATCCATTCCTTTGCTTCCCCTGAAGGTAGAGGTTTGGGGGTTTTCTTTTTCTATCCCTTTTTTACCACCAAAAGCCCTGACAGGTGGAGACATCATGTCAGTTTTATTCTCTCAAATTAGCAAATTCTCAAGTTTTGATTGTGGCCACTCACTTCCAGGTTTACATTAAAAGCACACTGCACATGCTGTACTTTCTAAATGTTTCTTTTTATGCATTTGTGAAATGTTCCAAAAAAAATTGTCTTTTAGTGAAAATATAGAAGACGTTTTTAGATTAACTCTTGTAAATTAATTCTCACACTGTCAGGTTAATGTTCACACCATCAACAAAATACTTTTTAAAATACAAGTTATTCATTTATCCTGTATTATCTTTTCATATTACTCACTTTTGTCCTAACAATCAGCTACAAGTATTTGTAAAAACTAATGTAAGAATAAGTTCTCTAACTGTATTAACAGCTAGCAAGCTGTCTGTTTCTCTATTATATAAGGTGGGGGAAAAAACCCAAATAAAACTGTCGGATTTTTATTTCTAATAAAATCTGTTCAAAGAGGATGAGCTGCAGCTGAAAGATTACTAGTGACTATAAGCATTTTACTGTGAAGTGTCTCATCTTTTATATTAAGAGAAAAATTTCAATAATCTGTTAATAAACACAAGGAGCTGTTTGCACTTAACAACTGATCACTCATTTCAAATCAAAACATTACCTGTTTAAGTTAGCATTTTGTTCGACAATTGTAGTACTAAGTGTCTCAGTAGTTGCTACTTTTGCCACTTAAAAATGAAACCAGAGAACTGAGTCTCCAACAGTCTGAAATTACTCACTGAGCACTAAGTACTACTAAAAAGACTGTCTTATCTGCCTCCCTACATCTAATAGATACTTTCTGTTTACAATTCCAGTATTGCCATATTTGCTCTTACCTCTTTCTCTGTGAAAGCAAGCCTGCAAAAACTTAACAACCTCATTTATGTACCATACTCTGTTCATACAGTATTTTGCTACCCAGCTAACTTCAAGATCTAGCTTTAATAGTCTTACAAAGAAATCCAGATTGCTTTTTTCTTCTAACTAAAGAGTTCTGTGTTTGCCTCTTTAGGTACTTCTCTTTCATTTGTAGTTGCATTAAAATGTAATTGGTCCTTATTCTTAAGTAATCATTTTTATGTAAATGCATTACAAACAATTTTCTCCAAGACTCTAAACGAACCATTCATTGCAAGAGGCATGGCTGGTACATATTAAGCTTTCTATTGTAGCAATTGAAATATTCCTCTGCATTCTCCCAGTCTTCCCTGGAAACAGGGTATCTGGTTTCTACACTTGCGTAATTGCATGGTTCGGTTAATTTATTCTTATTGTAAAATCAGATTTAGGCCATTTTTTTCCTCACGTCACTCAGTTCTCTCACACACATAATTAACAGTTTCTTAGCAGTCAAGAACAGTTTATAATCATATTTAATAGTCAATTTTAAAAATGCAAGATGACACTCTGATGATTAATAGAGAAGAAAGTGAATCAGAAACTCTTGTCTCTGTTTCTGTTACTGAGCCTGGAGCTAGTGATACTTAGCAACATTACTGACTGGCTACAGTTTTAGCTGAAATGTCATTGTTTGAGCATCCCATTGCATATTATCAATGCCTTGAGAATTTTTAAACTCACCAGATCATTTCTGCACAATCAAATACAGTTACTGAGAAAAAAGACTTAGACACATTTATGAGAGCAATTAGACCTCATGAAAATATGAACTCCCTGAAATGTATTTGGGCAGTGACAACCTCACTGCTCCTCACATTATTTACTGTGAAGAAAAGTCTTAGTGTAGCTAGAAAAAAATAAATATCAAAGCAGACTTAAGAAAATAAATATTAAAAAAAGAAGACATTACTTAAAGCTTGGTGGAATTTCTCTTGGCTACAGAGACAGTTCTGCAGAAGCAGTACAGGTAAATCTACAACATAAAGATAACCCAGAAGCAAAGAAAATGTCTACAGTGGTTTGTGGGGGGTGGGGGGGGGGGAAGAAATTATTGTTATAATATATTATTATTATTACTATTATTATTAAATAAATAATCATTTTCTTTCTGATGGCAGTTATCCCTTGTGCCAAATTCATCTCAGAATTATTTACTTTATTCTTCCTTTAAAGGCATATTAATGCCAGGCCTCAGTTCCTCCCAGAAACAAGAGAGTCTTGCAAGTAAAGAAAATTGGATTTTGTTGGCCAATATTTGCATGGGTAGTAATCCAAGGAGAGTCTAGAGAAAGATGTAGCAAGGTAATAATTAATGTAACTGGTATGTTACACCGCACAGATCCCACACACACCATCTCCCTCAAATGAAGTAATTTCAGCATTGTCTAAATTATTACTTTGATTTGTTCCCTTATCTGTGCCATGGTTCAGGGCAGAAGGATATTTCATCTACCTCAAAGGCCCTCCTGCTGCTAAAATTCAAACATTTAGAAATTTGGATAAGCCTGTTAAAGAACATGTTGAGGCACCAGTGCTTGAAGCACCTCACACTTGCTCAGTACAGTGCCGTCCGTTTTTCCTGTGAGTCTGAAGCCCAGCCTGCTTCTATTAACCCTCTTGAAGTAGCAGATTGTTTATATTGGGTTACTGTGCTAAAGGTGCAGCACTGCAAATTCCATCCCCTTACTCAGCCCCTTCTTGCTGGCCTTCATTAAGTCAGGACAGTCCCCATCCTGGAGAAGATGGAGGAAGCTTTATCCAGTTTCAAGTCCAGGACTGAAGGAAGACACTGGGATTATTTTCACATTCCACTCCATGCTTTTGCTTCCAATACAACTAGTTTATATGTTTCTGCTAGTTTAACACAATAAATGCTCAGAAAGCTGCAGCACAATCACATTGCAAGGCTGGATAGTGCCTAAATCTGGACAGATATCTTTCCACTTGCTTTGTTGCCTCAGACTCATCAATATAATTTCAGTAAATGTGAGCAGCCTATGAGCTAAAAATTACCTAACAACGTGCAGAGCAGCCCATGAGGAAGCAGAACTGAAAGGCTAATCAGGGTATGTTGTGGCTCCTACACAGGAGGCAGTGAGTAGAAGGGCTGAAAGGCACAAGGACTAAGGCACTGTGGGGATGGATGGTGGAAAAGTGCCTGTGTGAGCCTCAGAGATCCCTGGCACACAGTGATCCCACCACAGGCTGGCTCTGGGCTAAGCCACCTGTTGCTCACATGATGTGCAGCTCGAAACCAAGCAGAACTTGCACACTCCACGTGCTTCGGGAAAAATTTGTGAAGGTTTTCAGGGGAATGATGATCAGAATGGACATCATAAAGCCCTGAGCTGTTGTGTAAATAATTATCTATGTAGGCATGCCCTGAGTTTAAGAAAAGCCCAGAGTTTTCTTCCCACATGGGCACTTACATATGGCTACTGGTGGACATTTTATTTTGGTTTTCCATTTTCTCCCTGTATGGGCTCCTTCTTCATTATCTGTGTCCGGAGCTGACAGGAAACTATAGTTACAATCTTGTCAGCTACTTTAATTATAATACTGCATTACAGTGATGTTACTGTATGATTCTAGTGAGTTAGAATCAGGGCCAGGGAAGAAGTATTAAAAAACAGAACTAAAAAATAAATTTGTTGTTATTATTCCTGAAAAACCTGCTGCCCTGCTCCTCAAGACCTTCCACAAGCTGGGAATGTAACTGCTGCCATGTGTCACTGACCTGGTTGTTCTGGGCAGTGCAGTTTGCACCTGCCAGAGCATCACTTCTAAGCAATGTGTTGTTGTCCTCCTTGCACATGATTATGAAAAGGCTGCAATCAGACACAGACTGAATTGACTTTCCCCTGCTGCAGTCATTCAGTACCAAGCGACCTCAAACCACTTAAATGTAATAAAAATATTTTTTCCATTCCTATTCAGTCTCTAACAAATTTTTTCAAAAGTTTTGAAGTCCTACATATTACAATTATGCTAGTCTTACATTTACAACTACTGTCAGATAGATTACAGTCAGATCATACCATGTATTAGTTGAAACAAATTTTCTACAGCCTCAGGCCAAATACACAACAGTAGAAGTGCTATGAATGCGTGATTGTCCAGGTAGAAGATTCAAGATCTACAGGATTTTTAGCAAAGCAAAAAAAAAAAAAAACAAAAAAAAAAACAAAAAAAACTAGTTTATTTGAAAGATACTCTTATAAAATATATCTCAAATTTCTTCTGTTACAAAAAGGTGATAACAGACTAATTTTCTCTTTTATGCAACCTTTTGCAAACCTAAGTAAGAAAATAGAAACAGCTAACGCTGTTTTTTCTTTGAATTTCAGGTATTGTTGCAGTCCTTTTCTGTGGAGTTACACAGGCCCATTACACCTACAACAATCTGTCACCAGATTCCAAAATGAGAACCAAACAGGTATGGAAATAACTGACTTTGTGTCTTCAACTGGTGCAAGGAATAACAGCTACTCGAATGTAGCTGGATGGCATTTCATTGATGCAAGGCAAGAGGCTTATGTCTTCACTAGGGGAAAGACTAGAGAAACAGTTAACTATTCTCTGGATAAGAAAAAAATATAAGAATATAAGAATCTGTCCTTCCCAAAAGACCTGAAATGTCAGTCAGGTGTGCAGACAACAGTTTACACCAGCCTCCATACAAAAATGCTTCAAAGGTAAGGAAATCAAAGAGGTAAGACAGAAGTGGTCAGAGAGGCTGGATCCTTGTCAATTTTTGGAAAGGACTGTCTAAACTACAGTCTGGCCCACAGACTTCATTAAAAAGTGACATAATTAGAAGGACAGTGATTTTTTTTCCAATGTACTATTTAGAGCTTTAGAGATGAGACATTTGGTCATCTGCTTTTTGTTTGAACAAGTGACTAGTGCAATTGTAATTATTTTTTAAAACTTGGAGATGTTCTCAGATTTATGGCATTGCAATGTTCAAAATACTTTTCAGCACAAGGAGTAATTTTAGACTACCCTGCCACTACCTAGATCCTACAAAAAGTCATTTAAATGCAGTTTTCTTCCCCTTTATAATGTTGACTCATATGTCCCATGAACATCAGGTTGTAGAAAATCTATCTCCTAGAACAAAATGGAAACACACAGTCCAATACTATAATTTTCATGATGTGATCTGGTACCTTTTTCAGCAGCTCCTCTCCTCTAAGCATTGGTAATTTTACGTAGAAAATTTCATCGTTTCTTGCACATCTCAATTTAATCAAAAATCCAATTTTCTATCAAAAACAGCTTGATAGAAAAAAATACTGGCCATAGTCCCAGCTCAACTGTTAGAGTCACAGATTTTAAATCACAAAAAAGTTTCTGGTCAGTACTTCCATAATAAAGTGTTAGCTATTGAACTAGGTAAGACTTCTCAATTGCATTTCTTCATACCAGCAGAGACTGATGCTTTCAAAAAGTATTCCAGCAGAGAAGTAACCTTTCTCTGATGACTGTATTGTAAGGGAACGACATTTATATCTACTATAGAATTGTTTCTCTTTTGCAGAAATACTGAATTAAATTTGCCATTGCTACTCTTGCATATAACTTCAAATTTGAATACAAGGTTTTTTCAGGGATTCATCTGCATGCTTTGGTGATGCATAGCCTCAGACAGAGAAAAAGAAAAATGGTGATATTTTTAATTACATATGAAGCTTTTTCAACTACAGAATTAACTAACATTTTGTTTAAACGCATACTGGTTTTATTCATGTTTACTTTGTTATTCCCTTCTATTCAAGAAGTGCAAATAAAATAATGAAAATAAACTCAATTTACCCTTGAACACACAGAAAAGGGATTATGTGTTTCTCTATGGAGTTATGAGTTTTATGCACCCTTTTCTATTCTGTTTTTCTCTTCCCCCATAAGCTCTTAATCCTCAGCCTCCTTTATGATGTAGTTCAAAAATTGTTGTTAAATTCCTTGGAATTCTTCTAATTTATTTTCTAATCCAAATATTACCCTTTCACATGCAGCTGTTTCAGTGAGACCTGCACTGCCTCTTTCTTTCTCTTCTCCCAAGAATTCTCATCAAGCAAATTTAATAAGCCATACGCTTGGCATTCTCATAATCATATATGACTTCAATGCATTTCAAATTAATATTGTTGCTCAGATAGTTGGCTTTGCTCCCAATCTGAGTCTTTTTTATTACTCATTACTGGCCAAAATCAAGGGTTTTTCAGTTCATTTATAGAACTATTCCAAAGCAGTCTCTCTCTTTTGTTACAATACGACAAAAGTTTCAATAAGAAGTGCTGAATTGTAATGCACACTACAAAACAGTGAGTTAAGGCTCAGGCTAAAGCTAACAAAAACCATGGAAATTAGATTTAAAACTCTAAATCTGATTGTGAAATTGTGTTTGCTGTTTTTAAATAAATGCATTTTCTTTACTGCTTTGCATAATTTTCTTTAAATTTTTTACTGAATTTTAACATTTCATAGCTTGGTGGTAAAATCCAGCAAACAATGATAGAGAAGGTATTTCTGACTATGATGCTGAGTTCTGCATATGTCATAATACCTCATCATTTTTTCTAAAAAAATAGGTCAGAGAGAAAAAAAGACAAGTATGTTTTTCTTTAGTTATTGATATAAAATGAAAACTTATCTACAGTTCTTAAATGAGAATTTAAGAACCTCAATTAAAAATGCCTGTTAAAAGATGCCATGCAATTATTAGTCCCCATGTATCCTTTATTATCCTGTCAATCCCTGTTTAACATTCCATGAAAAAGAAATACTGGATTTCAAGCATCTGCATCTGGAAGTATAAAGTAACACTAATCTTGCAAGAAAAAATTGATTATTGGAACACTGTCACAAGAAAAGTAAGATAACAAAGATTTAGTGAAAATGGAGGCTTTAGATAGTTTTCATTCAATTCACTTATCCCAATTCTCATTAAGTGCTTATAAACATTCTCTCTGTGTGTTTTTACTGACTTTTTTAACATGAAAGATGTTGTATGGCAGTATTTTTAAGTCATCCTCATTGACCTGACTACGGTCATAGTGGTTTTAACATTGCAATCGACCATACCCTCCGTGGCAACAAGGTTAGGTCAAACAGAGTGCTCCTGAGTCTCAGACACTTAAAGTTTAATTTATCCAATACATCTTTCACGAAGGAGAAGATGAAACTGCTGGGATCAGATCGAAAGCTATTTGATTCTGAGCAGCTTTCTCTGGAATTATTTACAGCTGCTATATCACCTCACGTTATGCTGCAGCCAAACAACAGTTGCTTCTGAATCTTGGGACATTATAGCTCAGATTTTACATTAGGCTTCAGATGTACAGTTGGGCTGGGTTGATTTGCTCTGCTACAAGTAAGTCAGTAGCTGGGCAGGGTGTTGTGAGATAAATGGAAATCCCTAGTTTGTTGAAAGTGGGCAGTATAAATCCCTACAGGTCACCTGTAGAAAGGAATGTATGCACAATACTGTGCTCTCTATGGGAAGATAAAATATCTTTTTCTCTCTGCCCTCTCTCACTTTCACTCAAATGCCAAGCTAAGACAGTACATTTTCCTAGTGGGGGAGTACTGACTAATAGTTATAAATGTTACCCATCATACTTCGGAGTTGTATCAATTTCTGGTTATATTCCTTTAACTCTGGGGAACAACCACAATGATGAGAATGGTACAGGGCAATACCGTTCTTTGGTTAAGTTTGCAAGGATATGGAGAATTCTGTTCACAGACAGCATAGGGTGTCAGCAACAAATTCTGGAAGGGGAATTCTGAAAGGCATCTCCTATGGGAATAGAGCCAGGGAATTACAAGAAGACACCAGAAAGCATGTCCAACCAACAAGGGAGTGTGTCACACACTGTCCTGTCTGTCTCCATTCATTCCACCAGCCTAACCCTTGTTCACATAGTCACCTATGAAATAGTTTGTCTAACAAGCGAGTGAAGGTTGCTATCTCAAATTACATGTACTAGCCTTTCTAACCACCTTAGAGTTAAACAGTGACCTGTTTTGCTGACCCTGAGAGCAACCCCATTATGGAACACCTGTCTTAGAGACAAAAGCTTGTGGCCTGATTGTTCAGCTGCACTGGGCGTGCAGTGTGCACAAGATGCCACATTAAGATTTCAGTGGTCTTTCACCTCCAAGGTTTTACATGGGTGGGACAATGAGGTAAAGAAAAAACAAGAGAGCTCAGTGCTGCTTAACCTCTGAGTTTACCAAAGCATGAGCTCTCACTAATATGCTTGAGCAAATTAGTTTAGACTGGAGGACTGAAAGTTCAGACTGGTCTTGGGGCTTTGCTCATTGATGGACATAGTTCCATGGTTCAAATTTTACTCTCCACACTATAAATGATTTCTCCACAGAGACATGATTATCTCTGATTATTAAAAGTAATCATTTTGCAGAGGAGCAGCTAATATTTCCTAGAAATCCCTTAAAAATACCTGGAATTTTAAAAGCTTTCCTGTTGTTGATGACATAGCTGTATGTTTTCCAACAAGGACACAGGCTAGGGATCAATCCAGTTGATTGTTGGATCATAAATTAAGCTGCATTCCAAAGAAACTTTGGTGTAAAAGGACTGTGTTTATAAGTATATTAAATTAATTCTAATTAATCATATTCATCAAAATAGGTTGACAAAACAGTCATAAAACATGTATTTTTTAATTTCTCAAAAACTGTAAATCAAATCATTATAGTCTCTTGACCCTAGTATGTTATCATATAGTTTCAATATAGATTTTAGACTTAGGATAACACAATCACTAAGGTTGGAAAAGATCTCCAAGATCATAAAATCCAACTATTGACTGAATACCACTATGGCCACTGAACTATACTGCAAAATGTCACATCTATTCATTCTTTGAGAACTTCTGGAGATGGTGACACCACCACTTCCCTGGGGAGCTTATTCCAATGCTTAGGTGGATGTTGTTCCATCCATGATTATAGACTCAATTCAGAAGGAAATTGTAACAGTAAAGTAAAAGTAAAGTATGGCAATGGAGGTGCAAAATCGACTGAAAGGGAAAAAGTAATCGATTAATCAAAAGAGTGTTATCTGAACTCAAGCAGATAATTTTTACTAAAAAGAGCCTTGTAGGACTAAAGGCAAAGAGGTGGCTGAAGTCAGGTTTTGGCTCACAATATCCAAATGACACACCATCACTGTGATTGGTCATTCTGCTGCTTTTATGCTGCCCTATGTGTCTTGTAAACAAGCAGACCTACAGCCACCATTGAAATAACAGATCTCCTTTCTCTAGACATAGGATACAGTGACTGACTTTTAGGATTCTTCCATCAGCTGTCTTTTCATAAGAAAATTAATAAGGCACTGCAAATTCTGCTCTAGTTACAGAGTGATTTCTCCTGAATCTGTTGTTAAAAACACGTGCCAGG